ATGAACTTGATATCAGAAATATATTGAATATTAAAACAATTTCTGTCACTTTTTGTCAATAAAATTAGCTCTCTCGCGAAAATGCAAATCTAAAATCAACATTGCATCCATTGTTCAAATCAAATTTTGCTCTCTCTCTCCCAATAATTTTTTTAGAAAAACTGATATTTTCAATCTATAACCCCATGTCATGCATGTAATATACATAGTTTCAAAAACATTTCATTGATAAATGTATGTTTATATATTTTAAATTTTTATTTCAAACAAAGAGATTCCATCAAAAACCAAAATCTCTCTCCTTTTTTCTCTCTGAATGAAACAGCTTTTATTGACAAATATGTCCCCCTTTCTTACATTTCATATTCTTATACAGAAATGAAAACATATAGGTATCATATCGTACATCGGATATTTTCATTACTCGTAAATTAAAGTAACATGTATTGACCGTTTATCAACACAGATACAACTTTACACTCTACTACTGAAAATCGGTATGAATAGCTGATACCAGTTATAGTAAAAGCTTTGGAATTTTTTATGCATTTAGTGGTTTGGAAATTCTAATCATATGAACATGATAACAATAAAAAATTAACTTACTGTTTAGCAAAAAGAATGATCCTATTATTACATTCATTTGTTTCTTCCAAAAAATAATCCATTGATGTCTGATAATATACATATGTAGAATATGATCATGACAACCGAAGGATGGAAAAAAATATTCTATGTCTTGTGAACCTGTTTGGATTTTTAAATATAATTTAACCTGGATATTGATTAACTATCAAAGGCATATAGATACTGACAGGTGTGAAATATTTATTATCATAACTGAATCTTTTCTAATAATGAATGAATTTATATACGATTTAATCTTAGAAACTATATTTTTTTTTGTTTCTCGATGCGAAAGGACAGTTAAATTTAGCATCCATTAATAAGGTTTACTGTCCGTCTGAGTGATATCTCATTGAGACTACTGATGTACAATATAAGGTGTCCTCTGGTCTCCTTATTGATGTACAATATAAGATGCCCTCTGGTCTCCCTACTGATGTACAATATAAGATGTCTTCTGGTCTCCCTGCTGATGTACAATATAAGGTGACCTCTGTTCTCCCTATTGATATACAATATAAGGTGTCCTCTGGTTCTTTCCTTTCCGCTCAACGATTTTGATCAGACAGCATCGAAAGAAAAAACAGCTCGAAGTTTCAACCCATTACGTGGATTACTGTACTGTACAGGTATCGTTCCACCGGTCATCGGTTTGTATGAAACATCTAGTGAAGCAATGGAAGCGAATTGGGCGTTTCCCTTGCCTAAGCACTTCAGATGTCAGCAGATTTTGCTGGATCAATATTCAACATCCCCATCCGTTAATGGCGGCATTTCAAACGTTAAAAAAGGGGGCTTTAACTCTGTTTACATATAATTTGTTCATTTATAATTAGTAAACGATGTTGATAATTCACAATCTCAGATTCAAACAAAAAAAAATAAAGATACAAGCAAATAATAATATTTAAAAATTATGTATATATATATATGTTAAACACAAGTTACACAGTTGTTTGTTTTATAGAAACATGCCCCGTGCAAAAAGGACTGCAAAGTCTCCATATGCTTGTACATGCAGTCTTTCCCGAATTTTCTTTCCACGACATGGTTAAATTATGTACACATATGACGTCATCGGTGGTAGATTTAAGAAATGACAGATACAGCTTAACAAAATAAAAATATTTTATTTTTGTCAATGTTTACACTTTCTATTTATTTTCTAGAGTTAAATTACATTTCTATAATTACAAATATTACGAAAACTTGTGTTCTAAAATTGACTTTATCTAGCCTACTATGACGTCATAATATAGCACTGATTAAATGAACTTAGAATATGTGTATGCTTCCTTACTACCCCCGTGAATGTGAAAGGGCGAAAATAACACGGGACGAAAATAACCCTGTATACAATATTCAGGACAAATAAATAGATATACTATGAAAGCCGATGGTCGCCTGTTTAAAATTCTTTGTGGGACGCGGAGACCAGTCCTTTTGGATGGTACCGTTGTAATAATAATATTGTTTTGAAATGATGATTCCGTTTGTGAAATAATAATTCCTGGTTATAAAGTTTAGAATTTATTCAAGTCCAAAAGTACAGAACCAAAAATTACATTTTTTCATTTTTGTACAAACAGATTCACGTACGTCTCATCTTTTACAACTCCACGCACGTGTCCTCTTTTACAACTCCTCCCACATTTCATAAAAGAACTAATAAAACAAGTTTAAACATGTTAAAGACAGTAGTAAAATTTTGGAAAAGCTCAACGACATTTAATTTGGAACACAGGAAACAATTTGAGTAAGCATAACAAATTCAAGGAAACACCAGTCCAAGATCTGTCCATATACCTGACAAGAAAACATTGATGTAACCATCAATTGTTGCCCGGGAAATATATAAAGTAAACAATGAAAATGAGTCTTGATCATCAAACCTCTTCGATATGTGTGAAAAGGCATGCGTCTAATTGAGGGAGATGATAGTTGCGATTATTTTGAAAACTTATAGTCGGATAAATATCAAAATGTTGGCTGCATAAAATATAGAATGAAGTTAGACACATGCATCACCTATATTCAAAAATATATTTAATTTTCAATTTTAATATATAAAACACGAACTGTGCAGAGTATGTTTTTATGCGAGAAATAAAAGTCGATGTTCTAAAAAAAGGGAGCTGTCGTTTTTTTAGATAGTAAATGATAAGCAACTTATATTAAATATGAAAAACATAATATATATTTTTAAAGATTCATTTTATGGAAGTAAATATATTATGTATCTCGTGATTTATAAAGGGAAAGAACATTCTGATTAACAATCTTTTTTAATGTTTAGAAAACTTTTCATTCTGAATAACTACTCCCACTCCAATCCCCATATACCAACACTTAAACTTATATGTATAGAGCAGCACGGTCCTCCGGGCTGCAATAACAATTATAAGCTAATACCGTGGGATGGAGAGAGAGATGTCAAGCTTGAGAAATTACAAACACATGCAGAAGTGATTTTTCCGAAGATCAAATAAAACAATTAACTTTTTATTATGAATTCCCAGCACATCAATTAAAATATTGTAACAATGCCTAAATCATAAGTACATATAAGAAACAAATTGTATTTATCAAAAATATATATTTTTACGCATGTACGAGGGACTATCAAAAAATTCGTGGACTAGCGCCATAAAATTAAAACCGCTTTAGTTACATAAAAGATTTTTAAAATATCTAGTTATCATCATCTTTTCTATCTATAGAATAAATCACAAATTAAAAATTTTATTTTTAAATAAAATAGTTTTTGTAAGCAATGGTATATCCAAGCCGCGCAACCTCGAAAATGAAGTTTTTCTTGACCTAAGTGTAACTAAGAAAAACTATTGTGATATGAACATTTGACATCCAGAAATACCGCTAATTCAAGGATGTGCTGGGACACTATTGTTCTATAAAATATTAAATTTTTACCTCATTTTGGAATTTCTATGAAATTTTATCGTAAATTTTACATGCAGTATCCACACAAATGTTGCCTTGAAAATGACGTCAAAAGGGGGAAGGGGTTTCCTTTTCCAATATTCTTTAAAGTTTTGCCCCTGGTAAAAATGGCATAACCTGGGAAATGTTTAAACTGGCTAATGAGAAATAATATGCATCCAGATTACTTGTTTTTTAATGCCAAAATAGATTCAGAGAGAAAAGGAATGCAGTCTATTTCGATTTGTAGTCAAGGTGTGAAAAATCAATCACGTCAAAAAATGACGTTGATCGTGTGTTGTAGATATTAAACTCCAAAAAGCAAAGTATGCTGGCACAATCAAGCGAGGATCTCTGCCATGGTATAAATCCATTTGCAATAGTATATGCATTGAAAGCCGCTGTTCATGGTATTGTAAAGTCATTTAAACAAGACGGAATGGAATCCAACTTAGCTCCAAGAAATCTCATCAAAATAAGTGTATTAGGTAGAAGAAGCAGACATTGAGAAACATGCTCCATATGAGTTTTGTAAGCTCAGACTACGTAGTACTAATTTTATAGCCTCAGTTCACGAACTTTTTGATAACCCCTCGTATATAATACCGTATAAACTGAAGCACTAGTAGATGTCGTCACGAGAACAACCCCTTGCTGCTAGATAGCTCAAAGTGCTGATTATAGGAAACAATTCTGAGGTCTCCACTGGCAAGTGGTGGCACGAACATTCTCAAGAGGGACATTAAGCAACACACTATCAATCAATCAATCAAAATAAATATTGCAATGTGTGAAGCATTCATTGTTATAACAAGCAAGAAAAACCACAGCAGATCTGTATATGTTTTGTACGTCAACTTCTTATCATACAATATATGCTTCCAAAAGTATCAGCCAATCCGAAATATCAAAATTCTAAAACTGTATTTCATCAATCTTCAAAACTGTCTACTCAGACAGAATCTTCTATTATTATCTCCTTCATTCGAAAATATTTATTTGGGAAGTTATGACCAAGAAGTTAAACATCTCTCCCATCCACAATAAAGAGGTCATTAAAATGAAATGCTTTGAAAATTGTACATGGAAAAACAGTACATGTTTCATAACAATCAACATTTTACGGTTAATTTCTCATGTTATAGGCTCTGGATTGCCGTCTGATTAGCAAAGCGCAACATGCAGTGTCTAAAGACATTAATAACAAAACACATAATACATGTATACTGTAAAATAACATATTTTCGAGGGGTCAAATTGTCGTGGGTTGAAGAAAATATATTGGTTCATGGGGATTTAATTTCGATTTTGAAGAATTGCTAAATGCATATGACAAATTACATTTTGTGGAAAACATGAATTCGTTGGCCCCTTCATACATTGAAAACCACGAAAATTAACCCCCATGAACATAAATGATTTCACAGTATTCATCATTGCTCATCTCTGCCCTTCCGATGTTGACAAAAATTCTTATTTATTTTATTGCACAAGTTCTTGACAACAGCAATTATATCCGGTAAAATTAGAGCTGTTATAGTAAAACTCATCAGAAAGGCCCCAACACTTCCTATCTGTACAGCACTAGGACGAGATTCGTAGACACTGATCAAGCTTCTGTTATAGGCGCTAGTGTTTGATTTATGAACGGATAGATTCCTCTTCATCTCTTTTATCCATTCTGCAAGCGTCTCATTGGTGATATAGCTTCTTAGTCCCTTTGTTGTATCTTAAAAAAAAAAACAAGAACAGCCTTTATTTATTTAAGTGGCTTTATAAAAATATTGTAAATTAAATGATTAGAAAATTAAAAGGAATCATATTACAATTATCTACATGGGATCGATTCGATTATTGTAAACAAAATTCTGTTAGCTTGGAAATATCGAAAATCCTATGAACCTGAACATTAAGAGCAATCGTGCCTGGGTGAGAAACTTCATGAAGAGTGGTGATCCATAAAATTTATAATCATTTGTCTCCAAGAAAGATTAATGTATCTTCAGTGTTCAATGTTACTCTTTAGTACGTATATGTAACTATTTTGCTGACAAAACCAGGAAAAAAAACAAAAAGAATTATAAATCAAGGGAATATATTTTTATTTACAGGTACTTGATAATAGTACCTTGGCACTGCAAACTGGTATGAGTCCACTTTCCAGACATGCATGCTATTTTATTTTCAGCATTTGTTGGTCTGTATCCATAGCGACATGCATACATGGCCACGTCATTATCAACTAGAAAATCAGCGTTTGTTATGTTAGGAACTGGGCCACAAGATGGCGCTGAAAATATACAATGGGGTAGAAGAAAAATAATACCACTCGTTATCAAGAGTTGTCAGTCGTTATCATTAAATAGTAATTATTAGTAAATTTGCAGTTATTTTTGTGAGTTGATTGATTTGAAATGCCAACATGAATTTGTTGATTTTGAAGAAAAGATATATATTGAACATTAAGTAATAGAATGTATTTTAAAATACAACTAGCAATTATACCATTACGCAAGTGAGTTATGGTTACGTATGGAGTTTTCTATGCTAAAAATATAAGTAAAACCCATAATGACTATACCTTCCACGCAGAAGTTAAGACTTGTTTTCTAAAACATTCTTAGTACCGAGGATATGCGAAAGCCAGTTTACATCATGACGTCATTTTATGACGTATTCGACCCTTACTACTCAAGTGAATAAGAAACATTAACAAAATCGCTTCGGCACAAGGGCATACCTTTCTCTATTTAACGGAAACAAAGTATAGATAAATGCAGAATATAACAAGGATTCAAGATATTGCTGCACAAATGTCGACACTGCAATTGATTAATTACAATTTCTAAAGTCTTAGGTTGAAACAGGGTAAAAATTCACTGTCCAGTGTAAGTTTTCTAAATGTCTATCAATTGAAAAAGTGCATGGGATTTGTGCAGCAATTTTATTTATCTTGAAACTATTCTCCTGAATATTATACGTTATTTGTTTTAAATGAAATAGGATATGCCCTTGCGCAGACGTTGTTATTTTGATGTGGTTTAATAGCTTGAATGGGAAAGAACAATGACGTCATAATATGTACTAGATATAATATGCTGTGGGCACCAAGTATGAATAAGGAAATCAATTTGAAATTTATTTGTATATAAAATATACAATTTATGCATTTTTATTAGCTCATTTGCATAAAAATCCACATATTTAGCTTTAACTCACTTGCGTACATGGAAATGTAAACTCATAATATATTATTTCCCCGGCGAGGTTCTAGATTGAGGATTAATTATGCAGAATGAAATCCTCATTTAGAAATAATTTAGGTAGAACACAATAGATTTTAAAATTTTCCTCAAATTAGTTTTTTTTAAATTTTGATACTTGCTCTAGGATACACAATATCACTTTATATGTCATATGAAAGAAAAACCACTGCACATTTTTGTCCACTTAGTTTGAAATATTGCGTATTAGACGCCCGCTAGTAGATTGTGAAATCAGACAATCGACTTGGGAATCATCGATGGACGTATTACAAGCTAGTGTGATATTGTTTTCTTACTAAAAGTCAGTAAGTTATATTGGCACTAGTATATTTGTATAAAATATGGTGTAAAATTAGAACATAGTTACATAACAATGAGTATAAAAATTCATTTCAATTTTAATGGGAAATATCTTTATCTATGATTTTATTTTTTTTCAAATATGGACCTCCTTGCATCCCTATTAAAATAACGACCACTATTAAAATGATAATTTCAATCATAGTAGTTGAGAGAGTATTTCAATGACAAACATAGGTTGCAACCACTATTGAAATACGACCATTTCGCCACTTGAAATGTACTCTCAACCACTATTGAAATAAGTATTTCAATAGTAGTCGTATTTCAATAAGGTTTTGATTTCGGTAAAATCTTGTGATTTCAAAAGTTCTTTGAGATTTTTCAGTATCCACATCCGATTGACACCACTTCTTGAATATACATGTATAATTGCACAACACTCTTGAATTTTTTCCTTCCCTACTGTCAATATCTTAGTGAGGAGTAACGAAAGAGGCTTAGGTGAACATTTACTGGAACAAACAATGTTTTTTTTTTATTTGTAAGGATTTTTATGGAGTTTCGGAATACAATATATAAAGGGTAGTTTAAATTCATTTTGGTAGTACAAGTCCCATTGAAGTCTTTAGAATGCATAACGGTAGCAAATGTTTTATCCATGACTTTTCCGATTTACTATTGTTACATATTATAAAAAAGTGTTAATTCGCCGAAATTCTGATCCGTGTGCTGCCTTAACAAACCCGCGTAATGGGAAATATTTTTTTCTATGATTTTATTTCTTTTCCAAATATGGTTCTCGTTGCAACCACTTTTAAAATAACGACCACTATTGAAATAATAATTTCAATCATAGTAGTTGAGAGAGTATTTCAATAACAAACATAGGTTGCAACCACTATTGAAATACGACCATTTCACCACTTGAAATGTACTCTCAACCACTATTGAAAAAAGTATTCCAACAGTAGTCGGATTTCAATAAGGTTTTGATTTTGTTAAAATCTTGTGATTTCAAAAGTTCTTTGGGATTTTTGAGTATCCACATCTGATTGACACCACTTCTTGAATATATTATTGCACAATACTCTTGAAGTTGTTCCTTTACTACTGTCAATATCTGAGTGAGGAGTAACGAAAGAGGCTTAGTTGGACATTTACTGGAACAAACGATGTATATGTATTTGTAAGGATTTTTTATGAAGTTTCGGAATACAATATATGTAGGGTAGTTTAAATTCATTTTGGCTCTGAGCAATATAAAAAAATAGTTTGAAATAGTTTCCTGCCGAGGGGAACCATACATTTGCTATTTCCTGAGTTCCCATTTCATAACAGCTTTATAATATCGAAACAATCATAGGCGATTTAATTTTTTCAGCAGAAACGCGGGTTAGTTAAGGCAGCACATGGATCAGAATTCGGCGAATTAACACTTTTTTATAATTATGTAACACTAATAAATCGGAAAAGTCAAGGATAAAACTTTTGTTGTAAGTATGCATTCTAAAGACTTCAATGGAACTTATGCTACAGTAAGCAATTCACCATGACGTCACCACGTCATGTCTATAATTAGAAAATATGCCTTAATGAAAAAGTGAAAAGTTCAACACTACCTCGGGGATAATTAGTTCCAATTTATATTAATAGTTATGTTAAACATCTTTGTACCATGAAAAGTGCTGCTAGAATCCTACTGTCCTCTTATTGAAATAATTATTCAACAATTTCGGACGAAACCTTCCCAAAATGTTTACATTTTGTTCATAGCATCGAAAAAAATGCATCAATTCCCGTAAACCATACGATTCTAGCAGCACTTTCCCAAAACAAAAGAATAAGAACTTTAGATAGAAAAAAAAAATTAAGTTTCAAGGTATGCGGCGTAGTGTTGACCTTTTGCACCTTTTTTGTTGCAAACGACAGAGGAAAGGCTGATCGGCAAGTAAACACCCTCCCTTCTTTAATTTTACGAAGAAATTGCAGAATTATATTACCATACCTTATTCATACGCTTTATTCCCACAAGAATCACACATGATATTCATTCTAAATGCTTTTAAACTCCGATTTCTTGTGTTTGTTTACATCAATTCTCGTTACTTTTCACTTTCACTCTGCTACTGCATGATCAACAGTTATGACGTCACGGGTTTGGTATGTAACCCCTGTGATAACTACAGAGGCCTAGGAACGATAAAATTCCGTTGATATTATTCCTCTGCATATTTTGGTTCATTTTTATGACCTCAAATCAACCTTAGATATCGATTTTAAGAAATTGCTATCTCTAAATCTCACGTCATTTAGCTTATTATGACGTCATATCATATCGGCAAGTAGAATATTTGGTTGTAACCTTAACCTACCTGCGTATTCCGACATTAAAAAAACACTGTAGAGGTATAATCACAAATGCATGCGTTCAGTCCGTCTGTTTATTTGTTTTCAAACAAAAGCTTCCACCTTTTCTCATAAAATTTTAAAAGGGTGGGGATATAGCTTTCATATTTCACTTCTTTAACTTTGTGGCAAGATCTTGATTTGGATACATATACCACCAAATTTAACTACTTGGCCTTGACCTTGGGGGTTTTGTCAACGTTGACAAAAAGCCAAACTTTAACCATTAGTTTTGAACAATTGGTGCTAGGGCTTTTGTACTTCACATAGTAATTCATTTGCGACAAGAACTTTAGATGTTAACAGTGATCCTTTGACTTTTAGCTTAGACTTTAAAACATTTCCTAAGAATTTTAACACTGGCAATAACATTGAAGCAATTTGCATTGTAACGGGGGATTTCAGATTTCACAGGTATATTTCTTTTGAAAAAACCTTCTTCTTGATACCAAATATTAAAATTATATATATATATATATATATATATATATATATATATATATATATATATATATATATATATATATATATATATATATATATATATATATATATATATATATATATATATATATATGTGCATACTCAAAAATCCCAAAGAACTTTTGAAATCACAAGATTTTAACAAAATCAAAACCTTATTGAAATACGACTACTATTGAAATACGTTTTTCAATAGTGGTTGAGAGTACATTTCAAGTGGTGAAATGGTCGTATTTCAATAGTGGTTGCAACCTATGTTTGTTATTGAAATTAAACTGTTAATAAAAGCAAAGTTATATTCAAATTACATGATTTTGAATTTCCACAAAATGAAAAATAGTGACATTCTCCTACCATAACAGGTGAAGTTTGTTTTCTGCCACTCAGATAGTGAGCAGTTTATTGAGTTGGTTCCAGATTTTGGAAGAAACCCCGGACGACAGGAATACAGAGCAACATTATTGGAGACCATGACGTCAGCGTTAGCAATGGTGGGTGGATCAAGACAAGATTCTTTAAAGATAGACAAACATGTAGTGAAATTACTATAATTATTAGTTGACATTCATAAAACTTTTATATCAGTTTATAACATTATTTACAGATTATGTACACCTTTTCGACTTACAATGCTCTAAGAATATTATTTGGTGCATACACTTAATACAATCTTCTCTAAAGGATACACTAAACAAATGGGAACATAAAACATTATTCACTGAATACAAGTTTTGCACTGTTTTTACATGTACAACATTTATAAAGATCTTGATCCTTACTTATACATTTAAAGTCGGTAGACGGCCAGGTACTGTTTCTGCATTCAATGACATCAACTGTATTTTTCATTGTGAAATATCCCGTTAAGCAGAAATATGTTGCTCTATTGTCCTGCACAAGAACTGCTGCATTTTCGACAGTGGGAGGTGATGAACAAACAACTTCATTAAAAAAAACCCTCAAAGATATCAGAATTACTTTTTTTATCCTGAAATATATTGTTTATCAATTGGAATGTCTTTGAATCACTACATTTTTTGATATCAAATCAAAGATATACCTTTACAAAACATTGACGACTTAGACCATGTGCCCTCTATACAGTTAATAATGACGTCATCAGAACTTTCAGTGAACCCAGTCTTACAAGCGTACAGTGTTTTGCTACCATTAGTTACTCCGTCATATAGCTTATATGCATTGGAAATGTCAGGAGGGATTGGGCAATCTAAAGTGAAGCTTTAATTACCATTGAATAATATTTACATTTAAATCCCTCTCAAAATCAAGTCACAGTATATTAAAGAAAACGAAATCTGAAAAAAAAATGAATAAGGTTGAAAGTTGGTTATATGATTTGTTCCTATATCGTAATGGTCAACTGCCAGGGTTTATGGTAAAATAGAAGAATTGAATAAAAAAAAATCTTTCTTGTCAAGCATTGCAAAAGATTGGCAATTATGCTTACAACATTGTGGAAAAGAATTATACCTGTAGATACGCATCTTGTCTGAGGCCAATCAGGCGAACATAATTCCGTAGTCTTGCAAGGCGTGCCTTAATAGAATGAGTTTATATAATTTGACAACTAGAGGCAATTTTTCTTCTTTTACATTTCTATGTAGACTCAATATTTCTTAACATGCAGTTTACACTTGATTGACATAAAAAAAAAAATGTTTATTGCATAACGTTTATCTGCAGGATGCGGGGAGCTAAAATCTTCACATGAAAAAAAAGTGTCAGGATATGTTTATTTTTTCAATAATCAAATACTTAATACCTGTAATGTTAATAACCTTAATGATGACTTCAACAACGTCACTTTCTTGATAATTTTGCCCGCCACCCCACTGTCCACCCACGTAAACCAAATGTCCATTTGTATTTGTCCTGGATGGTCTCCAGAGCAGAACCTCTGTCTCATTGTATCCGTATATTATAGCTCCATATGTGTCATTAGAGGTATCAATCATGGCGCTACCGCCAGCGTGAAAGATGAATTCCTCGTTGTTTGGAGATGATACTTTCATCTGAAGGTATTAAGCAGGAATAGAAAACCTGGATTAAGGTATATTAGGTGTAATTCTGATTACTTTATATATAAATTACCTACACTGACCATTTCAACTCATGAAGTTTATTTAGATAAGATACATTCCCAGTTGCGATTTTAGAATCAACATTATTTGATCATTTGCTTGACAATAAACAAAATTACTTGTATTCCTTTATAAACTGCAAATTTCTTTTTAATGAAAACATACAAAACAGATATTTTTTAAATTATGCATAGACAATGCATATCGAGGTAAGAGTTTTACAAGGTCACTCAAGACCAAAGTTACTGTGAAATGTTAAAACTAGTGTTAACTATGAATATGGCCTGTTCATTGATGGATAATTTTTACATGCCATTAACTTTAGATTTACCAGAACAGAAACAAATGCTGAATCTAAACTATACACCGAATCCAGGCTCACTCGCTCGACAGTGTTTGTGTCGCTCTTATCCAGTGTGAATTGTGTTGAGAAATGCTTATTACAGGAGTCGAGTATCCAGGCCTGGATATACAGACTAGCATTGTCGCCACTAAAGCTCTCTGCTCCCCATCCATCGTCTGCACAAGCCACATAATCTGGAAAATGTAAAATCTAAAAAACTCTAGAATTACTCCATATAAGTTTTCATACAACTTTTCAAGGCCAGTGGTTCTTGAGGATATGTAATTTTTTCTATATGTTTAAATGTTAACTTGGATTCTCTTTTGTGACTCTTTGCTATCCCGAGGGTCATTTTTTGAACTATTGTAGAATCTACACTACCCTAGAGACATAAGTTTCAGCATTTCTAGTCAAGTAGCTCTTTCAAAGATTTTTCCTGTACATTTCAATGTTAAACCTGCATTATTATTATTATTATTATTATTGTTTCCCCGCCCTATATATACCCCCAGGGTTATTATTTGAACAATTGAAGAATCTACAGTACTGTCCAGACCAAACCTGACACCCAAACAGTCCCAGAAAGCAGTCGGGAGCGCTCCTGTACTTATATGGGACTGCTCTAGAAAGCAATCTTTTAATAAGAAGATATTATTATACATGTAGTTAATTAATATTTTCAGTGACTTTATATTTACACAAATGTAGTTTAATGTATCTTTTTTTTAAATAAAATCGTTGAATAAGGAATTCGGGAGAAAATTTTTATCCCTAAAAATAAAGTACAGGTTTATGACAGAAAAATATCTACATGTAGCCTATTTAATTATTTAATGTAAAATCATGTACTAAGAACTTGCATTTGCACTACTGTAAATCTGAAAATTTTTACTGTAGATAAATTTTTAGCAAATTTGCGCGTACATTGCATTTGCAAAAAAATATTATTCTTATATATAAACAAGTTTTGCTTTCCAAAAAGCCTGAAATGTCATCTCTTTGGACAGTGGAGTGTAACTTTTTTTCTGTTATTACAGATTTTTCTATTTTTCTAGGGAATGGGAGTGACAGCTTTACTGAACAATTTAAGATTAGGAAAAAGGGCAGTAATCAAACTCCAAAATCCTATGTTGTGTATGAGAAGGAAGTATTTTTTTTTATTATTTCGAAAAAAATTATTTTGTTAGTACTTGGCTATGCTCCAACAAAAAGTGTGGATAAGGGATGCTTGAAGGATAAGGAAATTGAACAATTACAACAGTACAAGGTTAAAAGGGCTGTTACACAGATTTGTTGATCTGATTTTCTAGAATTGTCTAAATAATTTCATGATTCATATGTTGCTATAGCATTTCATACTGCGTGAAATATACATAAATAATGTTTGAAAGTCTCTTTTATTTGGAAATTATCAAAACTACAAAGTTTGGGACATGTTTCATTGACATATATTCTAGAACTTTCACATAGTAAACTTAATCTACAATAGAGATAACTCTTAATGGCTAAACTGTTCATTATCCCTTTATAAATTTGTCAAGTTGAAGAGTTTTTGTCCAATTTTTCCCCACAATCCATGCTATAATTCTTTAAATTTTACTTCGCATTTCCATTTCCTTTAAATACCGGGAAATCACAAGAGTAATATTTTTTTTTTATTTTTTTTTTAAAAAAAAAAATGTCCCACTATGCAGTATTTGTAAAATTTGTAAAAAAAAAAATAAAATAAAATAAATAAATAAACACAAGGATCAGTTGGGTAAAATCTTAGCTTTATTTTTTACCTTACATATATGTATTTCACAGTTTCTTACTCTGACAACAGACAAAAGCGCTAACTTAAATAATTCCAACCCTTTCCAAAGATATCCCTTAAACTTCCCATTCCTTCAAGTGATATGGGCATCGAACCCTTAGGGTTATATAGGGGGGAATGACCTAAACTTACTTCAAAACGTTTACTATTTGAAATCAACTTATAACAGCACTGGTGGATTTAGAAGGTGCCCAGGCTCACTTTTTTGTCCAAAATATACATAAAATTTAACAATTGAATCATTTTTCTTGTGTGGCTGTGGGCCCCTACCCAACGCCCACATGCTTTTAATATAGGCTTTTGACCTGCTGTTCAATCCATATTCATATTGTACACTTTGTATATTATGAATAAAATACTTCTTAAACTAAAAATGCTTTTAAGCATAAGTAATAACATTTAAATGCTATCAGCTAAAATCAAGCATTTACAAATTATCTGAAAAAAGTCTTAATTTGGCAACCCCGAACCTACGGCTGTTTTAGGAATATACATGTATACTGCCATTTGTGACCGCACAAATTTACGTGCAGTGCGTATATTTTTGTGATTTAGTAAACTTTTCCTGCATGCTAAACATATTTTAAAACAATTATATTTTCTAATTTTAGCTTCATTTCAATAATATAGAAGGAGTGAATTGATGACTTTTTTGTCATCAATGCAAATAAACTGTATACAGAAAATGATTGCAAATTCTTTTATTATGAGCTTGATAAATTCTTAAGAAGGATAGATTAGACATGCTAGAAAATACTTAGAATGATTCTTTGTGATCTTTTTCTCCAATGTCTGTAGTTTATTAGATACATTAAGGGGGATGTCCGGCCACCTTTTGTGCAGTAAGAACAAAATGTAAATATTTCTCAAATGGCTAAAAAACATTATAGTTTGATCAAATTCTAAGTCCTTATGATAAAGATACAATAAATATGCATAACTAAATGCATGTTGTGCATATATAATCTATACTTTTGCAGAAAAATGCTTTTGATATGCTCCTTAGAACTTCGCAGCTACAGAATTCAGCAGAGCCTTAAAAAATAAAAAAAAAAATGCAAAGTGTGCATTAATGTTCTCTGTACAACCATTTGTTGAGAAAATGACTAATTTTTGCACTTTTAAATGGTAATTTCAAGTTCAAAACAAGGTACTGTTGTCTTCAAAATAAGTGTAAAGAACCATGAAAGTAGTTCATGGATAGCAGCACGAGGTCTATTTTAAGCACAGAATTTTGTTTTCCAGACCTCTTCTTAATATTGAGGTACATAATAATTAAAAAAGTAGAAGAGAATTACAGTTGCAAAATGTATCAAATAATATGAACACTTTTAAATGAGAAAATGTGTTATATAGTATGGATTAAAGTAATTAGTACTATTATCGAACAGTTTTTAAATAGTTTACATATTGATATAAAAAAAAATCTTAAACTCTTTGATTCCAGGTAAGGAAAAATGAGCACCATCAAAGTTAAAAATTAAGAGTTTGTAAGCCTGTCACAGAAAACATTTTATCTATCAAAATCCTAATTATCATTAATGAAACACAACGAAAATTAGACACATAAAATCAATATGAATGACTTTTTTTTAGTACCTACTAGTATACTGTGTCAAATAAACATTTATAATTTTCATCACATCGGAGCACCATTTGAAAAGGAATGTAATCATTGAGAGTGGGTTAGGAGATTTACTAAATAAAAAACTTTTTTTCTATTTGCCCATATTGTCAAAATTCCAATTATACAGAGTAAGGAAAAGTCAACGTAATTGAATATTTTAGACCATCTTTAAAATGACGTTTGGTGGTCCTCCCAACTCAGGGGGAAATTATTAAATAAATCATTATTTATAGGTAAGAAAAAAAATCCTTAAAATTGAAACATATTTGTTGATGGAAAAAAAAAGAAAAAAAAATATCATGTAATGGGATGTAAAAAAAAAACAAATTGAGTCGGGTCATTTCTAGGCAGGATCGAGGTCGGAAAAAAATTGCAACCAAATATTTTTTATAAAAAGTGGTCTTAACAATATAAGGCTAGTACATGTTCCATCACATACTTAGTAATGCAAAATTTCTGAAGCTTTGGCAATATTTTGAAAAACAAACATAGGATTTTTAGGGGGAGGGTGTAACCTCTAACTCTTTTTTTTTCGAAGATAGATATAGCATATGCGATGGACTTTTCTTTGTAAACATTGTGCTCACTTCTAAATTTCAAAGAAACAACTCAATATATTTTATCAAACTTCGTATGTTAGTGAGAGCTTACAACTTTGTCAACATAATGAGACATGATGTGTTTCATGTCCAAATATTACTCCATACAATGTGTGGGTCATCGCAAACAATCTAGCTATTTATATGTGAGGTGCCTGAAGGAAATCCTATAACTGACTATTTTTTCAATCTACCTGCTAAACAAAATAGACATATGTACCAACATTTGAAATGTAATACATGTAATTACAATTTGTTTTTCATGCACCGCATATTGTTTAACATTTTCAAATTAAAAGCTAAGCGTCCTCCTTGCAGCGCCCCATTTGAAAATAACTTCTATCGCCACAGAAAAGAGACCCGCCATAAACACATATATTTAGGACATGTTTTATCTTTTTTGAGTTTTAAAAAAAAATAACAAATTATCAAGACTTGTTCCATGAAAAAATTAATATAATCATGGTAATAAACGCATCTATCCACAGCAGATATATGCACATGCCAAACACGTGCTCATTGGAATGATATGATCGAGGAAATTCGAGCGATTAGCTGGATTTGGGCTAAAATTGCGTTGTTTCATTAATCGGACTATGCAATGCAACAATTAAAATAAGTAAGTTATATAACCTAAGGATTATTACTTAGTAATTTCTTGTCTTGATGTTGTTATGGTCGCATTTATTCTACAAGAGGCCCAGGGGCCACAGCGCTCACCTGAGCAATTTGCTAGGAAAAAGCCCATATCAGATCAGAACTGAAAGTTTACTGGGGGGGGGGGGGGGGGCTTGAATTTTAAGCCCCTAGGGGGTCATGATTTGAACAAACTTGAATCTACAATACCTGAGGATGATTACACATGAGTTTCAACTTTTCTGGCCCAGTGGTTCTTGAGAAGAAGATTTTTAAAGATTTTTCCTATATATTCCTATGTAAAACTTGAGTCGGCCATTTTGGCCCCACCCTTGCCCCGTGGGTCATGATTTGAACAAACTTGGATCTACACTACTTGTGGATGATTCCACATGAGTTTCATCATTCCTGACCCTGTGGTTCTTGAGAGAAGATTTTTCCTATATATTCCTATGTAAAACTTTGATCGGCCATTTTGGCCCCACCCTACCCCCGGGGGTCATGATTTGAACAAACTTGAATCTACACTACCTGAGGATGATTCCACATAAGTTTCATCTTTCCTGGCCCAGTGGTTCTTGAGAAGATTTTTTAAAAACGCCATTATTTTTTCTCTTATTCATGATTATCTCCCCTTGGAAAAGGGCGTGGCCCTTCATTTGAACAAACTTGAATCCCTTTCACCTAAGGATACTTTGTGGCAAGTTTGGTTGAAATTGGCCCAGTGGTTCTTGAGAAGAAGATGAAAATGTGAAAAGTTTACGACAACGACAACAACGACAACGACAGACGACGGACAAATTTTGATCAGAAAAGCTCACTTGAGCCTTCGGCTCAGGTGAGCTAAAAATCGATGTTATTTGAACTCTGTGTGACATAGGTATGGCTGACAAAATAAACACATGGCCTTAGGAAGACCCCACATGAAAAATCAAATTTTCAAGAATTATGGATAATGACAAGAAAAAAACGAAACAAATGGTTGTAGCCATATTATCAATGAATCGAACCGACATCATACCTATTCAATGCATTTTTCATCTCGTGAATGCTGTAGCTGTGCAGTTCTAACATGATTAATTTCCTCCTAATTTAAACAAAATAAACTATAATTATTTCCTAATTTTGGTCTCTAACAGTAGGTAATGAGTGCATCAGCACTTTGAGTAACTTTGGGCTAGTTTAGTATTAAGCGCAATCTTGGTATTTTTTATTTTACACCAGGCGTGATCCAATATTGCTTGTACATACCCCTTAATGTATCCGATTATAACTTGTGCTTTTAATATCTGAAATTTGTTTACTCTTGATACATTCGATTAAAGCAATATGGGCTGTATGACATCGGAATATTTTGCTGCAAATTTTTCATTAACTATTTCAATGACAGAAAAATAAAACTTCCATAAACTTCCTTTGTTCATATTTGCGATAGAATATTTTTATAAGCTTTCAATTAAAGCAAAATTGAATTATTATCGTCTTGTACAATAATTATTCCTAATTTAATACTGTATTTTAGGTCTTACAGAAATATTTATTCTGAAACATTTTTAACATTTATTTTGGGCTTCTTGGTCAGAAGGGGTTAAATTACATAAAAATTAATCATAATTTATAGCATATTTTACCTGCAAAATAAAATTTTCAAGAATGCAGCTCAAATTGCTTTAATCAGACGTATTTCTTTTAAAAAAAATGACAGCGCATTATAAAATAACAAATGTACCAAAAAATTAAAGTTTTCATCATCAATAATTAGTTATTTATGCGATTTCTTATGTAAATGTTTTAAATTCAATGTTGTTTTTTTGTGAATTATTGGATCCACGCCTCGGCTGCAGAGGATCATTACACATGCGCTGACCTAGATAGAAGATTCTATCTAGTTCTGACCATCATTTAGGTAAAAGTCAAGAAGACTATATATATACATAAGAACATACAATGTATATTTTGAAGAACCACTATCATCCTGGCGATTGTGTGTGTCGAACTCGCTATGATTTCTTAGCAGCTTGTTTTCTTTAAAGAATTTATCAATAATAAGGCAGATCGCTTTTTGTTTACATCTCTATATTTAGAAAATCGCATCATCGCGTCAAACTGACCAGTTGGAGATCCTCGGGTGGCTTTGCATTTTTGTGTGTAGCGTAGTGGAGTCAGCCGAGGATTGCCGATTGATAAATGGCAGCTTACCCTGGGACTTTCCATCCGGAAATCAAATTAAACTTCATGTGTCATCTCTCGTGAGAGAAAACAATCAACATGTAAAGAATTTCTTTCTGAAAGCAGGTGTCTATTTTTAACTCAGTGAATAGACGTCCCTTTTTAATTATTTTGCCAATGAAGAGAGACCAGTTATTTTATCTAACCATGTATCAACACGTGCAGTCCAGTCTAATACGAAAATTCGTAATA